TTGAACCCACGACCCTGTGATCACAACTTGAGCCAAAACCAAGATTTGGACACTGAACCGACTGAGCCACCCAGGTTCCCCATGGTGCCACCCCTGACTTTATTTATTTTTATTTTTTTAAAGATTTTTTTTTATTATTATTCACTGAGACACAGAGACACACACACAGAGAGAGAGAGCAGAGAGCATGAGCAGGGGGAGAGGCAGAAGGAGAGGGAGAAGCAGACTCCCTGCTGAGCCAGGAGCCCGACGTGGGGCTCCATCCCAGGACCCTGGGATCATGACCTGAGCCGAAGGCAGACACTTATCGACTGGAACCACCCAGGCGCCTCCCACCCCTGACTTTAGATCGAGGTAAGTGAAACTGGAGACCACAGCAGGGAGTTGGGCCCCCAGTCTACTGAAGGTGGTAGAGGCAAGAATAGGAACCAAATAAGAATCAAGTAGCTGTCTTTTATCCTGCTCTCCTACCCCTATGGGAAAGCTTTTGTTCAGAACCTAAGGGTTCAATCTGAGTACTACCATTTGCCTGTGTAAAAAGAAAGAATACCACAGGCTGGTGTACATGCTGTGCACTGATTCTAAGATATTGCATTTCATGTGTTTTTTTGTTTTTTTTTTTTAATAATGAGGAGTGGGCCATTTGTCCCCAGGTATGAATGTCGGTTGGTAGAAGTAAATGTATGTCAGCACACAGTAAAATGCCGGAACAGGAACTGGAAGACCTCTGAGCTGCTTAGACCAAGAAGAAAAACCACGTAGACAGTCTTGGATTCTCTACCTTCTATGGTAACAGAACCATTTTTATAAAATGCTATCTAAGTTTGGGGAACAACCAGTATAGTAGTAATTCAGTGTTACTCTGAAAGATGTCCTATACTCAGTTGCTACACATGACTGTTTTAAACAGATCCCTGAAACATGATTGCTAAAGTAACAATCTGGTATTTGGCTACAGACAGATCATGCATTCCTCGAATAAAGACCTGCAGGTCTCTCCTCTCAGAAATATCTACCACTTTCGGGGCACCTGGGTGGCTCAGTCAGTTAAGAATCTGCCTTTGGCTCAGTTCATGATCCCAGGGTGCTAAGATCGAGCCCCACGTCGGGCTCCCTGCTCAGCGGAGAGCCTTACTTCTCCCTCTCCCTCTGCCTACTTGTGCTATCTTTCTGTCAAATAAATAAATAAAACCTCTTAAAAAAATAACTGCTCTTATTTAAAGAAAAAAAAGAAATATCTACCACTTCCTTCACAATAGGAGCCTTACAGAGTGAAGGAAAATTCTATGAAAATAGTAAAGTTCTTCCCTCATGTGTTCAGTCAATTTTAATCACCAGTTGTCTTGCAATATTTTTCAACGGTTTCCTTTGAAAGGCTAAAAATGTCTTATATTTTACATATCTTAGCATTGTTACCTGTCACACACATACACAAATTGTTGTTTAAAAGTTGAGATGCTTAAATTGAAACAAAACTTATGCTTACAGTGGTAAATATTCCTGGATTAATAGAGTTGTAGCAGATATACACCAAAAATTGACTGAAGTCTGTGATATTAAAAAGACAGAAAATTTATCTAGTTTTAGCAAATGTCAAATCAGCAGCTATTGCTTTTAAGATTAATAAAAGATATAATGGTTTCTAGATAGCCTCTAAATAGAGATTACTATGAATGGAGAAGTGATTTACCAACAGTCACCACAATGAGATTTCTTTAAAGGTTACAATCATCAGTTATTTAGCTGAAACACTGCTGAGAATGCCTGGTCATTTCTTGAATAATGCATAATGTTCATTGTAGATTTGATCTGTATTATAACAATACAGATATTTCTAAAATAATGGAAAAAACTATCTGTTACCTTCCAATTGCTTAACATATCATTTCCATGAAGTAATTGACTCAGGACACATTACACACTGTCACCTGAGTGTTCTTTCTGCAAGCATAACTTGTAATAATCTATACACAATGGGCATCACAAAACAAACTCATCAACCTTTATAGACTTTTAAGAAAAGATGTGATGAATACAGGGCAGAGCGAAGGACCTTTCTGAAGCAGTAAATTAAAATGATTAAGTTTCTATATAGTTGTGTGGGACAAATTTAAATTCAAGCTTTGAAATTTAATTATTAACATGAACAACTCATCACATTAAAAAAAATTGCCTACAACATGTAAGTACTTTTCAAATAAATTTCCCAATGCCTTTAGGTTTATTCAAGAGACTGCTTGGAGAAGCACAAAGTATAATGTCCATTGTTTTATTGTTGGATTATGAACTGCACTTCACAAGATGCTGTAGGCTATTTATATAAGCTTGTTTATCCACATGAACTTCTTCAAGGGCACAACATAGAAGACCTTAATAAATTAAAATGAATTTCTTTTGATGTTGTTTCATGAATGTTTGATCAGAATAAGTAACAGGTTTGCCTTAAAGAATGTGAGGAGAGCAATAAAATACACATCTATTGTACGGGAGAACCAGCTTACAGAAAGTCCCCACAGCATTCCTAGCAACTTTAGAAAGCCACAGTCAACGGGAGAGAGTCACTATGCTTACACCTTCACTATCACCCGTTTATAGGAGTGGGAGTACACGTGTATCAAATTGGACGTTCTGCCATCATCTGCATGGAATTTTCAAAATAATCACATTGGTTATCTCCTTCCAGCCTCCTAAATACCCATCTCAACCTTCCCATTTCTCTCACTGACATCACCATGTCCTTCCATGGACCGAAATGCTCATGACAGCGGAGATCGTATTTTATCTTTTGTGTCCATCTTTATCATAAATATAGAGTTTAACTGATTTACCACAAAGTAAAAATGACTTTTCAGTCCTAATCAAAACTGAGAGGATCCTGACCTGGAATGTTCGATAAAAGATGCAAACCAAATATCATTTCTAGAAACAATATGATGTCCTAGAGCACTGAACAGAGAGGCAAGACAATGGATTCTCGTTTTAACTCTAATACTTGACTTTAAACTGTTTCTAGGTCATTTCCCTTGTCTGTAAATGAGGGCATGGTTCTACATGAGCTAGAATTTTACATCTCTAAAAGGTCAGGATTCTAAAAGTTAGCAGGGTTATCACCCCACAGAAGAACGGACAAACCACGGAACCATTTTTCTACTTTGGTAACCACTGCTATCAAGACAGCCTATCAACTGCCCACCCCTTTAAATTAAAAAAAATGGAAATAAAAGGTAACTGCGCTAAACAGGTTAAGCCAAGTCCAGTCCCTCAATCAATGCATTTCAAAGTGAGACCCAAGGATCTATTTTGCACATTCTGTGACTTCTGACCTGTTACACCTACCCTCATCATTTTGTATGATTTGAAATAAACATGATGACAGTCTACTGAATAAACTCTTATGGATACAACATCCTAAGACTATATTCACATCTTTAACTCGGGAAAATCTGCTACAACTTTAGCGTCTGGAACATAGATTGGTACATTACCAACTTGACAGCTCCATTTTTAAGGGCAGAAGGGTTGTAAAAGGGCAGCATGAGTGTGCCTTGGTTTATTTGTACTTTGCTACCTTATACCGACATCCTGCCCTTAAGAACTAACTCTGCTGTATATTCTTCTCAACCTCTCAGTGTCATTCTTCTGCTCCAGAGCAAGAATCTGTGAACTATGGCTTGCAGGACAAGTCTGGTGGCAGTTGCCTGTTTTGCGAAGTATGGTTTTATGGGAACACAGCCACACCCTGTTGTTTACATATTGTCTATGGCTGATTTCATGCTACAGGGGCAGAGTTGAGAGACTCTCAAAGCCTCCAACAGTTCGTAGATAGCCCATTTAGGAAAATGTTTGCCCTGCTCTAGAGGGAAATAACCTGTTACAATTTAAATTCTAATTTTCCTTCTCTCATAAGCCTAAGGAACACAGCTTGTAAGTACCCATGTAGAGATATGAACAGATTCACACATGCACATATATGTGATTACACCTCTTAGCTCTCAATTGTAAATAGTCACTGCTTTTGATCCCTCATTTTAATTTGAATCCTCTAAGAGGTTACAGCTCCCCACCAGAACCCATTTCTCCAATAGCCAGGAGTACCGGGACTTCAAAGGTAGTTGTCAAGGTGTAATCACTTTACTAAAGTACCTAATTCCTTCCCCCAGAATTGCCTAGAAGTTTGCCAAATGTCCAGCTTTATGTCCACCAAGGATCTAGATACAAGGTCAGAGCACAAGAAATTAGCAGATCCCTTAAAGTCTAATGCCCTGAATAACACACCATTAAAGAAAGAAAATCAATGGCCAATGCTAATATACATCAACAAACATATGCATGCATATTAATATGCTAAACATGCTATAAATTACTAGAAGTTTCACTAAACAAAAGAAAATACCTCTCTTATGTATTAGAGTGAAGAAGACCTAAAAACCTTTAATTAATAAGCTTTAAGAATGCACCAAGGATTTGGAGGACAAATATGTTTATATTCAAACAGTTTTTAGGCAATAGGTATGGAGACTTGAAAAATTAATAAGTGAATTGTTTATCAGTCAGTAAAATCATTATTCAAAATGCCTACTACAGTTGGACTCTGCTCCCTTCCTCTCTTTAGTTACTAAAGACAGAAAATATTAGTTCCATCCTTTAAAAAAATATCCTTATACTCCACCCATCAACAATAATTTGCATGTATTAGCATAACACAAATTAAACCCAAGAGGCACTTTAATGTTAAGTCATCTCATTCTCATTTTTCTGAAACCTTATGTAAAGCTATAGAATATTTAGGCTGACAGACTTTTGGAAAATAAAAAATAAATAGAAGAGGTTTATTTCACCTTCACATGGTGTCTTTCTCATGCAGAGTTCAGATTTCCACATTTGTATCCCTTTAAAGGATTTGATATGCAGGAAAAGAAGAAAGGATGATGGTAAACATTTCATCTTAGAGACACCTACAGACCACCATATTCCAGAAGAAACAGGGGCTTAAAACTTACCTTTTACTGATGTGTTAGGTGGAGGGCCTTCCATTCGCAAGTTCCACGGAGGGTCCCCTTGGTTAGCAAAGTCCCTCATTTTCAGATAGCTAATGGTAAGTCGAATGATGGATGCCTTGTCAAGCTGGCTAGTGATGGCTGCCGGAAGAGGCAACAACTTGGCCAATTCATAGAACTCAAAATTTTCTTTTCCCCGGCGGGAGCGAGCAGCATCTCGGGATTTCTCCTTTCTCAGTGCTTGTAAACTGCAATCAAAGGATTGAAAAAGTGTTCGTTAGAATTTGTGCTTCTACATCAGATAGAAATTGTTTTATTTTTATTTCCTTTTCTCCCCAACAAAAATCTACCACAATCTTCTTCCAAATTCTAGGACCACAGTAAAATGAATTCTAGACAATGTCCACTAAAACCACAAATTCTACCCCTGGACTTAACATGCCACAAACTTATGTGCAGTGAAGAAAAAGAGTTTGCTTATTAGGTTTTTTCCTCTATTTGGCCATGAATTGAGGTATATTCTTTGTTGCTAAGACCTAAGATTTACAGGTGAAACTTGATGTTATCACTAGAAGCAATTGAGAAGATGAGGCTAGTCTTCATGTATCTATTCTCAGGCTAATGATTTTGTTCATTTCATTGTTATCACCACGGAATCTTAAGCCATCAAAAGCACCCATTTTTAAAAAATGTATTTCAGTTATCATCTTGTCCCCAAAGGTAAATAAACACCAACATTTTATTTGTTGATTCTGTGAACTGTGTTTATGTCTTCCAGCCCTCCATAAGGATCACGACCTTAAGTCAGATAAAGAAAACATCCCATTGAAAATGAAGATTTCAATGTAAATTTATAAATGTGCTGGTAATTGGTTGATAAAACTTTAATTCTTTATTAATGAATATACATTAGTAGATGGATAGGTTCTCTAAGATACTGGAGAATAAAATACATTGCCCAGAAAAGCCAAACTTTAAGATAAATTTAATGTTAAAAGATAAAGCCCTGTATGGGTTATTAAAAACTTATCAACATTACAGACATATTACTTCACAGAAGATTCAACAGGTGGGATCCAGCATTTTCTTTTAACTGTTCATGTGCATTTCCGTTTGAAGTTTGCTCACATTGCTGAGGGCAGAGTCTGGCACAACTGAAGTTGTGTTTGAGCATCTGACAGAATTCCATCTATTCTGAATTGCTCTGTTTTATGTCTGACAAGAAATAAAACCCAAATCTGACCCTGATGATAAGTAATTGGGCAATATTTACAGTATCAAGGTGCTATTAAAATCATTTGTAAGTATCAATTTTATGGAATTCTGAAGACATTTTAAAAATCTGTGAATCTAGCTTTCTGGCTTCCCATTATAAAATAACAAGAAAGAGAGAAACAAGCAAGGAAGCAAGACCAGAGTAACAGATCAAAATGAGTTCAGCAATGTAGCTCCAGTCTCTATTAGTAGAATATGGACAATAACACTTCATTTGACATTATAGCATACCTGATGTTTTTCATGGTAGAAACATTGTATTCACTGCAGATACTTAGAATATCTTATTGAGTACCTACATAATTTAAGTAATTCCATCACACTCTGGTCAAATACTTGCTAAGCCAATATCCCAACCGGTTTCACTCTATTAGGAAAATATTCTACATTAGCTAACCTATTTCTCAGAACTAGAACAAGTTAATGTTATCATTTTCAGCATCATGGCAGTCTCAGATGACAAACCTTTGTCGCTTGATGTCTCAAGTGTTAACCTCAGGCAGAAACATCGCTAATTTACAAGGAAAAGGCATGTTAATGCCACTTATTTCCCCAAATCATGGCTGACCTTCATGCAATTTTATAAACAGTCAATTCTGGCTTGTTGAAAATTATGTAAATAAAGTGAGAGATACCTTAAAATCTGACAAAGTTTAAGTATAACCAGGCTCTAGGTTAACATCTTAGAATAAAAGAACCATTCATATCCCTCCCTTTATATAGTAAAGGCAATCTGTCTAACACCATTTAGGTCAGCTGTGCCGAAAGAACTATGTCTGTCCTTTGACATGTTTTCTCTACCACTTGTAGAGGGCAGTGGTTCAAGTTCAGTGCTTTGCTCTCTTTGTGTTCTTATAATCAAATAGTACTCCAGAAGGTAGGCTAAACTTACAATTTTTGTTGTTGCTGCTGTTCAGTAAGTGAGTATGATGGAGCTCTAGAGCAGAGGTTATAAACTCAAGGGCTCCCCGGGTTAAGGCAGGGAATGTCAATGAGTGAAGAGGCCTGATGGCCACGGAGAGGACCTGGGGGACAACAGCTCAGGCAAAGGGACAGCATGCACAGTTTCAGCAGACGGCTATTCTAGAGGAAGGCACACATGCTGTGGCCAGATTTTCGGTGTCTCTCTTTCTAGAGAACAAAATCTGAATTTTTATATGGCATTTCCAATTTTATGTTTTAATTTTAGATTAACTAATTAAAGTTTTAAAAAATAATGCAAGCCTAATAAAACATGTCATTTGGTCAATAAATGAGCAGGGATGCATTTTACAATGAGGTAAGAATTTGGGAGGACAATTTTGAAGGTAGCTTTACATGGATGTTATATGTAACTTTCCCTTTATACGTGTTGCTCAAAGAATCTCAAATGGGTTCGTTTGTTATCTAATTAACATTACCAATATTCATACTAGGAATTTCTCTGTTCAACTGAAGGAAGTAGATTAGGCCACTATTCTGAAATTGCTATTAATGCATAGGCTTATCAATAATTTAAGGGAAAAAAAAACCTAATTCTATGGGGAAGAAGGTAAGCAAAGCCCAAGATCACACAGAGCAATTCAATGGGCTCCAAGGGCTAGATAGAGGAGAAATGGCTTCCTATTTCCACTCCAGGATGGCAAATACATGGACACTAATGCCTCTCTGTGCCTTGCCGGACAACACTCTTGCCTAACCTAACTCTGACATTTGACTTATCTAAAATACCACTGGGCATGGGGCGCCTGGGTGGCTCAGTGGGTTAAGCCTCTGCCTTTAGCTCTGGTCATGATCTCAGTCCTGGGATCAAGCCCCACGTCGGGCTCCATGTTCAATGGGGAGCCTGATTCTCTGTCTGCCCCTCACCCCATTCTCGTGCTTGCGCTCTCTCTCAAATAAAATCCTTAAAAAATTAAAAAATAAAATAACTACCGGGCAGAACTTACTTCATGTGTTCCTGACCCACCTTCTTGTTGTTTTTCTCCATACTACCCCTGATTCCCATATCACAGCATTATATAGACACCACAGTTGAGAAGACTTTCAGAATAACAGCACTGTGTCTATAATAAGCAGTAACTGGTTTTGAGGGCAACAGCAATAAAATATAGTCAAAGGATTACAAAGGTTATACAGAAGCTGATGGAGGAGATTAAGCTAAAGACCTTATAACAATGACACATTATGGATTAATCTTATACCTGCTTTTGTGAAGTAGAGTCCAGTTCTAAGTAATTCTCAAACTGAATTGAGGACTACATTAAAACTTAAAATAAACTGTTTATTTGTAGATTCTGTCCTAAACCAAAAATTATCACTGTACTTCTAGAATACCAAAGAAAGAATGGAATGATTGCACATGAATACAATGTAAAGCGCTGGGGTGCCTCGGTGGCTCAGCTGGTTAAGCGTCTGACTCTTGGTTTTGGCTCAGATCATGATCTCATCAGGCTTTTGAGATGGAACTCTGGGCCCCACTTCTGCCCAGCAGGGAGTCCTCTTGAGATTCTCTCTCCCCCTCTGCGCTTTCCTTCATTTGCGCACACACACTCTTTCTCTAAAATAAATAAAAATATTTTTTAAAAATGTTGTGGTGCTGATCTCTGCCACATAAAAAATGATTAAACCTCAGATTAACAATAAGTTACTCCCTGGGTCCAAACTTCCCACTGCTCTGATGTTCTTCCACCTGGTCTTTGGATAACTGGAAAAAAGAGACTCTTCCTTAATCCTCAGCAAATCAAAATTTTAAATCTCCCTGATGACAATATTATCATCCTCACCAATTACCACCACCAACAAAACAACAAAATGAACAATTTCAAAAGACACACACAAACACACATGTATTTTTTATTTATTTATAAATAAATCTACAAGTCATATGCAAAACTGTATATTTTGGGGAAGATAGTAAATGATATTCAGAATCTCCAAAGGGCTTCTTCACAACCAAAAGGGTAATGATCTAATATTAAGAATTTCCTTTCATAAAACTTATAAAGTTGTTTCCCCCACTCTTTCTGTCATTGATGTTGCCATAATTAACTCTCCTTAACAACCATCCCTGGTTAAAATAATATTAATGTATGTTTCTGCTTAAGACTTGGCAACAAATTTTACATGTTACTGAAGTTATACTTTTAAGCATAGATAATAAGCAATCAAAAAATACTAGTAATGAAGATTTAGGGGACAGTGCTTATTGAAAGTAATTCTTTTTTTCTTTAATTGAAATGATTTCAACTTCTTTTTAGAGATTTTTATCCATTTATTTGTCAGAAAGAGAGAGAACACAAGCAGGTGTAGCGACAGGCAGAGAAGCAGGCTCCCTGCTGAGCCAGGAGCCCGATGCAGACCTCAATCCCAGGACCCTGGGATCATGACCTGAGCCAAAGGCAGACGCTTAACCAACTGAGCCACCCAGGCATCCCTGAATGTAATTCTTTTAATCCTCTCATATATTTTAAGTTTCTTGGCAAGTTATATGTTTTGTGGAAAGAGTCCTGATGAAGGAATTACAAGACCCACTTGGTCATTCATAGGTACGATATAGGCATAACAAATTTCAGCCTCAATTTCATCATCCTACAACATGAGGATGGCAAACCACTCTCTTGGGACCACTGCAATGGCTCATATGATAATTTCCATAGTAGTATATGGTAAATATGAAACAGTGAACTTCAAAAACAATTCTAGATTTTAAAAATTAACATAGTTTTTAAACTCTAAATGTGGTACAGTCCACTTTAGAGTTTTACAACAAAGAAAAATTTTAAGAAGTTGGAAAGACTTAGGAATGTTGAAAATATAGTCAACCCATCCTTAAACTTTCTTGGAAGCCACAGGGGTTAGTAGGGTGGGTTCTGCAGCCAGATTGTGGGTACTCATACCATCATACAGTTACTATCTTGGCAACCTTCTCTAGGTCTCTCAACCTCTTTAGGCCTTGATTTCCTCATCTGGAAAATGGACATGATTATAGTTC